CAATAGCAGAAATTTCTTGACAGGTTTGCCAACTTGATGTGCGATCCGCTGATGTTTCTTCTCTTTCTTCTTGATTTCCAGTATGTGAGTAGGAAAAGGATGGGAAAAGGAAGGGAACAGGAAGTAGCAGATTGAATCGCACGCGAACAATTATTATTATGAATTTAAAAATTAAAAGTAAGGTATATGACCTGAACCCGATGAACGCGGGAAGAATCAAATTAGTAAAAAGTACAGAAGTGGCGCAAACATGTGGAGAAAATATTTGTCGTGCGGTCGCATGCTAGGGGTTTGGTGTGAGATCCGCCGTAGACTGCTCTAACAGCTTAATGCACAAAAAGCTGGATCACGTACAGTCGAGCGCAGATAACCGAGTCGTTAGCAGATAGTCCAGCAGATACCACGATAAATGGCCATCTAAGATAGTGAGATTAATGCCACTAGCGAAAATACACTTAAAACATGCAGATGTATTAAAAAACAAAAACCCGACTGCGGTAATTTCAAAGTTGTATTTTGCAATAAAAATCCGCCATCTTGAATTTATGTTTTTTTTAATATAGCCAGTGTCACTCACGCTGCTGAGACAAATCTAACGACACCTAACATGTCAATATCCTCCTGAGACAGCATTATAAGGTTATGGTAAATGCAATATATATCTTTTGCACCAACGTACGTCAGTTGTGAGACCACCGTAGACTGCTCTAACAGCTTAATGCACAAAAAGCTGGATCACGTACAGTCGAGCGCAGATAACCGAGTCGTTAGCAGATAGTCCAGCAGATACCACGATAAATGGCCATCTAAGATAGTGAGATTAATGCCACTAGCGAAAATACTCTTAAAATATGCAAACTTAAAATTGGATGATTGTATCAGATATGACTAAAATTTTAGCCATATGATGAATCACCAAGCCTTAATAGGTATCAAAACAAAATGAAAAGTATACGCTGAAAATACTTGAAAGAGGGAAAGACAGTTCTTTCATGAAAGTCATGATGAAGCTGAGCAACTTTCCTAAGTATGAATAAAAAACTGAAATATTATTAAAAAGGATCCCACATAAATAAAAGATTAGTAATATGTAGGCGATGCCGTTTTGAAGGAGTATTTGGAACTATGATATTTATAAACTTTTCATAGGAGTAGGTTGTATAAACTTTTGCATATAAAACTTTATACAACCTACTCGTATAGAGTCACAAGCCAATTTCCCTGGCTTCCAAACCCTAAAAACAAGCACCAAAACCTGATTGAGGAATATTTTCGTCGGATTTGGCACAAGTAAAGGATTGCCCCATACGTTACTCCCGCGTTTTGCAGAATTGGCAACTGCTGTGTAGATGTCGCTACAGTTAAGCTTTGAATTTGTAGAACGCATGTTAAAAAAGCACAAATGCCTAAAAAAGTTTCTGGTCATTGTGTTCACCCATCTACCTAGTGACAAACAAGATGATTGTCTGATAGGTACCGATATATAGGACTTTTAAGTAAGAGAAAGATTTAAGTAAAACAGTAGCGCTGATGCATCATGCTCACCCAACTTCCATACCAACAACATCCCCCTATTTGGCGCTATCACCATTTAATGCAGTCAACCATTGCATGCGGTCGACCCAAAATTGCGGTCCATGGAAGTACCTGATTGAGGGAGGCCTGTGTCCAATTGTCCAACAGCGAATGTTAATGATGATTTATTTATTCGAACCTACCTACTTAAAACTAATTTGGTACCGTTGTACCTACCCACTGATTTGGTAAATGGATGAACTGCGACCAGCCCCCCAACCAATGCCTTCATTTACATCTCCCATTTCCCAAATGGCCATTTTCGAGAATACTGCATTCAGCACTGGACATGGTGTGGCACAAGTGATAAGAAATTCGCTTTAAAATAACCAAAAATACAATCTCCGGAAAACATGCAAAATTTTCCACCGCAGGCAGGATTTGAACCTGGGGCCTTCGGCATCTGTACTGCCGAAGGTCGCATGATATTCAAAAATACAATGTGCAAAAAATATTTGTTGTTTTTATTTTTGATTATGTTTATTGAATAAAGATATCTTGCAACAATGCCTATTATATTCTCGTAAAAATAACGAACAGTGACCACAAAGAACAATGAAAAAGACTTGTAGGAAAAACGGTCTTACCATTCTCGTTACTCTAAAAAATATAAAGAAAACAGTTGAAGCTCTCTTACGAAATTTCACATATTCTACCCGCATGATTGCTTGCAGTTTTATTCCCAATCAGCAAGAAATTCGTGCAAGGGATTGCATATTTTTTCATTCGTATGGATTATATTCTATAAAAACATCGCGAGTTCTTCTCTCCAACTTATGCCAATATGTACTTAAAAGTTTTCCCGGTATCTGAACCCGCTATAAGCTTGTGCACTGCACCCTGCATCTGCGCTGCAATTTTTCGTTCGAAGCCGGCAAATTACACACATAAGGAATGTGCAACGGCATTAGTGTATTAACATTTTTATGGGCCATATATCGCGAAAAACGCAGCAACTGACAATTGATAGCTCCTAATATTTCCACTTTAAATGTATCTTTCTTTCTTTTGGAACAATTACAGCTATTTCTGTATGGTAAATAGCGGAGTATGGCTTAAAATACGTAAGGTTTAAATTCGTGTGCAGATTTTTTAAAAGTTAAACTAAAAGGTACATTCTTGTTAAATTAGGTCTAGCTCATTTGCATTTACGATTAAGTATTTGGTGCAAAAGAAAAACTTTATGAACGCTAATAAAGTATACATATTTTACAGGTGGGGTTGTTCTGCTTTGAAATATTTATTGCGATTTCAGCCTTTTTCTTCACATTGTCATAAAACTAGTAATTTATTATAAGAGAAAATAAGATAGTTTGTTTTAAGTACGGCAAACAAGTGAATTCTGTCCATGTAGGAGGACCTTCAAAATTAATAAAATAAGTAGATAACTTTCACTTTTTACATGCACCTGCTCGTACCTACATACTGCAAAATAGTAAAAACGTCTAAGTACTCAAGTTTTACTTCCCAAACTTGTTCCTAGATAAAAGATAGTCTCAAGGCTCCAAAATTAGGTTTATTACAATTTGGCAGAAACACACACGGTCAAAAGTCCCGTATCGCGCACGGTGATCGCATGCTAACTGGTGACTTTTCACAAACATACAAAAAGTCAGTTACTACGTTTTTGCTTAGAGTGACGTTAATTGGTGCAGCGGTAAAGTTAAAAGTAGGACTTTTGCATTGAAATAAAAGATTTTATCTTAAATGTTTTTTTTTGAGTTTGATTTGGTGACTTGCGAGTTGTAAAAATAATCCTGTATCATTTCATTACTGTAAAGTCTTTGGAATACTCGGTATACACGAAAAGAGAGAGACCGCAGAGTCGGTCTAATTTTTGCAAAGTTTATTTGAATAATCATTCGAAATATTTTTAGAACTAGCGGCCCGCCCAGCGGTTTCACCCGCTGCTACTTACCTGTTTTCCCGTAGAAATTGGCCATTACTGAATCTATGTATTATAGTTGAGATGAGATGCTGGTGGTCTACATCAGGTACTCCAGACCCTCGTGACCATGTGCCAGCAGAAGCGGCCTGTCATGGTGTTTTTTTTTTTGTAGGAAGCCATGACCGTATCTCTTATGGTTTAGATGGGTTGCTGGTGGTTTTCATCAGGTACTCCAGATCCTCGATGACCATGTGGCAGCAGAAGCGGCCGGTCATGGTGATCGACTTTTTGTATGAAGCCATGACCGTATTTCTTATAGTTTAGATGGGATGCTGGTGGTCTTCATCAGGTACTCTAGATCCTCGATGACCATGTGCCAGCCGAAGCGGCCCGTCATGGTGAACAACTTTTTCTATGTAGCCATGACCGTATCTCCTATAGTTTAGATGGGATGCTGGTGGTCTTCATCAGGTACTCCAGATCCTCGAGGGCTGACAAAAAGTAGTCCATGTCCGTCTTTAATATGCTAGAAATATCAGTGCCAAGTTTCGCAAAGATCGGTAAAGCGGTTTGGCTAATTTGGGTAATATCCGCTATATTTCCCGCTTTTCCTGCTGCGAACCTTTTTCCCGTGGGAATGAGGAATTTCCCAGTGTTAAAAAGTAGCCTATGTTACTCAGGAATGTTGTAGCTTTCTAATGGTGAAAGAATTTTGGAAATCGGTCCAGTAGTTTCGGAGTTTATCGATTACATACATACAAAAAAACAAACAAACAAACAAAGGTTTCCTCTTTATTATATTAGTGTAGACAAGTCTCAAGAACTTTGATGTCATATGTAAGTAAACCTTAAAAACTATGTGACTGATATGATAATAAATGCATTGCAGGTATGTCAAAGAAAAATTTTACATAGTCCATCCGCTATCATAGTGTTATGCATGACTAGTCTAAGAGGGGGGGGCCAAGTTACGCTGGTAGAGTAGTATCTAAGTATTGCGACCAGCGCAACTTGTCCTCCCGATTAGGCTGGTCATGACACTATGATAGCGGATGGGTCTTACCAATTGCTTATTCTTAATTTTTCAAACAATATGAAGAAAATTGAAAATAATTATTACCTACGCTAATTATTTATTCTTATCATCATCATCTCCCTGCCCTTATCCCAATTACTTGGGGTCGGCGCAACACGTTTCGTTGAACACAAAATTTATTCTTACAATTATTTATTCTTATATTTCATTTTAACTGACAGTTCGCCAAACTCCTCAGCCGTGTATCTCACCAAAGTTCGTGAAACAATGGATGCGATAAGCTTATAAATAATTGTCTACGATAAGCCTAATTTAGACGGATCGTATCGGATACCGCGTATCGCACGACGCAAACGTATAGGTAGCGATATTACAACGATATGGGGCCGGAAACGCAGGAACTGGGACTTTTAACAGGCTTATTAATATAATGTAAGTTGAGTGAATCATGTCAAAGAAAATAAAAAAAAACCTTTAATTGTCAAAGTCGGGGTCCACCAGGCGCCCGTACCTCAGTTGGCAGAGAGGTGGGACGGTACCCCACGATCCCGGGTTCAAGTCCCGGTGGTCGCTAGTGAATTTTTCAATTTCCTCATTATCAATTTACGAAAAAAATATACTTCGCTAATTATTCAGTAAGTCAACTTTCTTTCCCTTTCTCTCTGTCTGTCCTTCTCTTTTCGTGTGTGACACCGAGTCAAATAGAAATAAGTATTGAATTTTGGCCTCTAGATAAACGCGTTTGAACACTAAACTTCTCGGTCGGATCAAAAGGTCAGGAAGTCCATAATATTTTAACCGATGTTCCTTGTAATTTTTAAAAACCTTCATACACAATTATAACCAAATGAAACATGTAAGTATATTTAGAAGCGCTATAAACCAAAGCATAAACTTGATTATTATTTTTGAATTAAACTTTCGGATAACCGTATTGTTTATCGCGTAACACTTTAAACCAGCATTTTACTACATCTAAGTTTGCACAAGAAGCACGACGCTAGAAAGTTTGCGGAGATAAAAGTATTTATAGCCCCCTCTATCGGGGCGATACGGAACCCGGTTTATGTGTGGGACAGACAAACAGATGCAAGGTCGACCAACATAGTGACAGGTTGAGGAAATAGTAGTTTATGCAATTGCCTTATAATGAGAGGCTTTAGGATGTGAGTGTCTGGCGCAGCCAAGTGCGATAATAGTTTGACACGAGCATTCTAAAGCCTTATTATATGTAGTTGCATACACTATTTTATCTACACTCTACAAGAAAATCTTTGAAAAATTATTCAAACCTCCGCACTGCACTATGGCGATTGCAAGCCTATCTACTGAACCACCAACTGAACGACTTTTGTACATAAGTAACTTTTTAACTAATCGTTAAAATGGAGCCTCATAAAATCATAACAACTTTTAAAATTAAAAAGTATTTATCGGTAAATTTTAATTCGATAAATATCCAAATTGTTTATCGCGTAACACTTTAAACCAGCATTTTACTACATCTAAGTTTGCACAAGAAGCACGACGCTAGAAAGTTTGCGCAGATAAAAGTATTTATAGCCCCCTCTATCGGGGAGATACGGAACCGGTTTATGTGTGTGACAGACAAACAGATGCAAGGTCGAATAACATAGTGACAGGTTGAGAAGAAACATATTTATAAGCACATATAATTGCGTATTTTATTTACAATGCGACAGCTTTGGAAATCTAAAACTTCGTAAGCAAGTTGAAACAAATGACGTATAAAATTTTCGTAGTCAGTCAATTTTTCAGTTTGAGATGTGCGCGCAATCATTACCACAATATTCAGCCATTGTAATGCCGGCGACACCCAACTGTAATTCTATTACCACTGTGATTTTCCAACGAAACTACTAAAACCACCAGAATACGAACGAAACTTCCAAAAACATCCAGCCATGCCATCGACACCCAACTGAAACGATTTTTATTTAGACTTCGGACCCATGGAAAACAATGTTTCAAAAATTTCAATTTTCTGTCATAATAACTTTAATCTACATCTTTGCATTGACATCACCGAAACAATCAGATAAGGGCCAGTTAATAAAACTGACAACCCTGACAACGCCATATATTTGATGAGCACTAAACCGGAGACTTCAAATCAGGACTTCGCACACTGGAGTCCTGATGAAGTACATCTGAAGTTACACAACTCTCCCATATCTTGTGGAGTCAAAAGCGGTTTACACACACACAACGAATTTCAGGTTTTTTGCCTTCTGATGCCGATGTAGAATAGAATCATCCCGTTTCTTTTCCGCGAGTGTCGTAAAAGGCGAATAAGAAAGTCGGTGGTTACATGAGTATCACAATTATATAGCCTACCTACCTACCTGTCACTATAATGCAAAAAGGTTTTTTGATCTCCAACTCAATATTTCTCAGACGTGTCGATATACCTGAAAATCTGTCTACCCCGAAGGGATACGGTTCTTGTAAAAAATGCGTACAAAGAACCCCATGCAAAATCGGATTTAAAGGCACTTGTCGCCACATCTACAAATTTGATTAGGTCGGAAACTGGGGCACTAATGGAGTCACTTTAGCTGTGATGAATATGTCATGTCAAAGTTCAGTTACTTCTTATTGGTACGTTTAAGTACAGGCGCGCCTGCAATAAGCGGAGCTGTCAAAAACCGAAACATTTTCCGGTGTGTTTGGATTTCACCATATCTCGTAGAGACAAAAGGCTCCGAGGACGAATAACTCGTAAACCAGATAGGGATCTAGACGAATATACGTGATAAGAGATAGAGAGACGATTCTGGAAAACGTATTCACTGTTTTAAAGGATTTTTGGATGAATCGACCGATATTTTCCATCATAAATAATATTATTGAAGAAATTCTAAATTTATATACCTTTAAGTTTGCTTTACGTTCTTCTATAGTACTCCTATCTTGCTCTAAAAGCTTACTTTCTCAAAAAATATACATCTTAATAAAAATTAAGTAATTTCGTAGCGCACTGCTACGATCGCTACGCTGTAGCATATTTCGGCAACAGGCGTGTTTTCGCAAAGGACAAAGTATAGTTGGTACAAACACAAACCTACATAAAATCACGCTTATATCCGTACAGGGTAGGCAACGTATGCATGAATCAACAAAACCCAAATGCAACTGTTTAAGCCAAAAGCAAATATCAGGCGCCATAGTAAATATTTTGGTGACAGTTTAAAAATAAACAGCATTATTTTAAATACGTACTTGACTTTTAAAAGCTTATTAAACACATACCTCATTTACCCAACAACGGTGAGTCCCCACAATGGCTTACGCCCTTGAAAAGCTGATAAGAATCTCCGGGAATTTATACGGGGGCGATAACGGGGGGGCGGCTGATAAGGCAGGGGGGCGATAAGCCGGGGGCGCTGATAACAGCCGCCCCCGATGCTATCTGTGATTAAATAGCGCGCGCTATCTGCGATCTTGGGCGGGACAGAGTAGTTTACGCGAGTCAGAGAATGGACGTTACTTAAAAATAGAAGTATTAGTTTAGGTAATATTTGTAAGGTCGGTATCAACTGATTAGTACAAAATAACAAGCGATTGAGTTCCGTGGAGCGTCATATTAATGTGTTTCTACAATCTACATGGAGTTTCATACAACTCTTGTCTGTCAAATTATCGCAGTATCGAGTGGCGAGTGAGTAGGCTCCCCAAACAAAATAACGAAATTTGACTAGTGTGGCAAATATCTGCTCAATATGAGGTCGTTGATACTCGTGTTTGTGATGCGATACAATTAGGTGTTTCGATTGCATGAAAGACTACTATGTCACGTAATTAATAAATTACCTTTACCACATACGTAAAACTTTCTATTAATATACATACAAACGTATATCACGCCTACAGGGGTAGGCAGGGCGTAAACGGCAGTAAAACCGACCATTTACACCATGTTTGTCAAAATTTTGAGAGACATTGAGAAGACTGTGTATTACCGTAGCGATAGGTTGACAGCCTGTCACCTAAAATTGCAATACTACATCAACTCTCAAATCCCTCAGTCGCTGCTTACGACACCCATGGGAAAGGTATGAGGTGGTGCTATTCGAAACCAGATCTGGTTAGGTGCTATCTTAAATCCATTATTACTGTGTGAAATTACTTATTATTATTCAATAAAATTGCAAAATTGATGTCATGCATTGCGATTTGTATGTTTACTCTGTTTTGCCTACATTACCCTGTGTAAAATATGAATACGCAGCGTTGTCGGTACGAATCCGTCAAACAGATGAGATAAGTCCGACGTGAACTTTTGCTGTGTTTGTACCCCTACCCCCCCTTTTTAACCCCCCTCCAGACCCTTAAGGTGGTGTAGGAATGTGTGTAAAAGTATGTTCGCTTCTACATTTTTAATGCGAACTGCTAAAGAGTGGAACTCCCTGCCTGCGGATCTGTTTCCGGAACGTTATAACCTGGGCCTTTTCAAGGTGAGAGTGAATGGACATTATCTGGCCGAGCATATTCCATCATCGTCTGCATCGTCACTTTTAACATCAGGTGAGATTGCGGACAAAAGCTTACTCAATCCTTACATTTAAAAAAAATTACATTTTGTTCCGTTTGATTTCACGATGCCAAATCGACGGATCGCATCACTGCGTTACATCGGCAGTTTTTACAAAACTATTGATCATATTATTCAAGTACTCTGTGTTATAGTTAGTACCCATAGTACCTACTTACCGGCTGAACTCCTTTATAATATAGATCTAATACATAAGCTGTACAAAAATCAACTGCAAATATTTTAAGGGGTGAACGGTGAACCAGTCTATGAAACTGAACAACTTTCCCCCAGGAACATAGTTCGAAATAAGAAAAAAAATTAATCTCCCTTGCAAATTGACCTGGTCGGCTGATACATTTTGTATAGGAGGTCCAAAATTATTTTCACATTTCGACCTATGTTCCTTGGGAAAAATTGATCAGTTTCATGGGCTGGTTCACCCCTTAAAATATTTGCAGCTGATTTTTCTACATCCTGTATCATACACTCCGGGGAAAATGTCTTTTCCCACGGGACAACGGTTAGGGTGCAACGACTGGGCGGGCCGCTAAGACTTTATAACTTAGGTACTTTCCACTTTCTTTATTATTTCGAAAGCGGTTTATAAAAACATTAATGTCTTGTTTGTTGTTGTTTTGTTTGATAATATCCTGCATACTTTCTATAACGAAGCTCCAACTTGTATAAGTTGTGAAAACACTTCATAAGCGCGTTTTAACAGCCCAGTGGCGACATCTAGTTTCCCGATATTAATACTAACTAAGCTCACTCTTTATCAGATAGTAAAGATGTACCGAACATGGTTTCTCTCGACTAGTTGACTACGGACTAAAAATCAGCCAAGTCAGAGACTAGTCGCCGACTACAAAACTGGTTGACATAATCGACTAATTTGAGCCTTGTCTTTATAAACAGTAGTGGGATAATTTCATATTTTTTTTTCTTGCGCGGTATTCATTCGCGTTTTATTTTGTATGATATAACTACTATAACTATAATAGCCGCAACAAAGTCC